GGAGATAGAATTAGGGAAATTTCTAAGTCCCACTAAGAACTTACCTGGCTTTGCACCATTGAGTATTTAAACAGCAAGTATCATTATTTACGATAATAGAAAAAAGTATGTAAGTTAAAAGCATAGGCAACAGCTCCCCTGAGGAGATTCAGGCAAGAAAAATGTTAGTCATACTTCTACTTCTTGCCCCTGTTCTTCCATCATAACATAAAGGCAAGAGAAATGAGAAAAAAAGAAACTGCCATTTTATTTTCAAATTAAAAGAAGAGGTCAAAATAGCTGCAATTTGGCTAATCTGCAGTTTCATCAGCAACTGAACAGAACAATTTGAAAAGCAAAGACTCATTAGCTTAATGTAAGGCCAAGCTGTGATTCCAGCAGAGCCCGCTGTAGGGCAAGTCTGCAGAAAGCAGGAAAGCAAAAGCAGGCAGCCTGAGAAAAGCACACTCTGAAGGCTGCATCTGAAAAATTATTTATATAACTCCAAGTGAGAATTTAAAACTCCTAATTAGAGACTCTATTTAGGTGCTCCCCTTTGAACTTGCTAAAGTTAGTTATTTAAACATATTATTCAGTATTTATCTTTCCAACTGAAAGAATAGTCTCCTTCTCAGGGTCCTGATAATATACTATTCCCATCATGATAGCTACCACCACATTTTGCATTGTGACATAATTTTGATTCCTGTGTTTCTGTACCTGCTGCTCAAGGGTACTGGCTAAGGATACATTTTCTTGTTTATCTTTGAATTACCAGGAAGGACCACAAACAAATAATTGTTGAATTATAAGTGATCCTGCTCATTCATTACTTGTGTACCTATTTTGTAGGTCTATTTTGCAGGCACAATTCTGTGGGCATGGATAAAATAGCCACGGGTACAGCAGGCCAAAAGCCCTACCATGATGGAGCTTGCAGTTTTCCTGGTAAAATATGTCATGTTGTAAAGCAATGAGTACTAGGGAATGCAGAGAGAGCCAGGTGAGAAATACAATAAGTGTCGAGGGGCTGGGTATAATTTTAAACAAGGGAACTAGGGCAAGTTCCACCGAGAAAGCAGGCAGGGTAGTCCATGTGGATACCTCTGCGACAAAGATTTTAGGCACAGTGAATGGCAAAAACAAAGCCCTCGGATAGGAGAAGAAATGGTATTCCAAGTTTAAGAAGAAGCTCACTGTAGCAGAAGTGAAGAAATCAGGAGCAAGGAGAATAGTAGGAGAAGAAAGCAGAGAAATAACCAGGGAAATAACACGTGTGTTGTGCACCATTATAATGATTTACATTTACATGGAACAAAAATCCTTGTGTTTGCTTTCTTCTGAGATGAACAACACACACAAATTATAGTTCATTTTGGAATGTGGGGAAGGAAGAAAGGACATTTTGAGCAGAGGAGTCACTAACCTGATTTGTGTTTTCACAGCATTACACTGTCAGATGTGTTGAGAAAATACAAGGTACAAACACAGAAGGGAGATGCATTTGGAAGCTATGATGTTAATAGAGGAGAGTGATGATTGTGCCTAGACAAGGATTGTAACAGTGAAAGTGGTAACACCAAATCAATTTCTGCATATGCAGTCCTGTACTGCCTAAAGACAGGGATATATTCCAAGAAATGGATCATTGGCTGATTTTGCTGATGTATAAAAATCATAATGCATATTCTCACAGACTAAGGCAGCTGTGATGTCAGTAGGCAATGGGAGTTCTTAACTCAATTATATCTTATGAAACCATTGCAACATACACTGTCTATCACTGAATTTACTGAGAACTTGATATACTGAAAATTGGAAGAAATGCAATATAAAAGACAAAACTCTGAGGTGAAGAGATAGAGACAGACAAGGAGAAGGAGAGAGATAGGGAAACAATCTAATATCAGCTTTGGTAACAATTAACCATGTTTACTTTGCAAAAACTTACTTAATATTTTTGGGAAGGAAAAAAAAAATTTTGAGCACCTGTCCTGAATCAGAAAACAATATGATAATTTCACCTCAGTGAAATTATTTAATATTTTTACCAGCTTTATGAAGTAAGTAATGTTATTTGCTTTATAGAGTGACACAAACTCAGAGGTTAAGCAACACAATTGTAACCTCATAGTTATGTTTTACAGTCAGGATTAAAAGCTACTTTCAACCACATTAGATGATATCTGATAATGTTTCTTCCAATAAATTGTTATTTGTTTGATTTTTTTTGCAAGATTGCCATAGCAACACACACACACACACACACACACACACACACACGCACAGACCTATAAAATAAAGATAGACATCACCATCTAGTGGCATTGCTAATCTCAGTTTATAGTGGAATGTACACATAGACATTCATTCATGGCATAACACAAAAAGAAATTAAAGATATTGTTATAAATGTGTGGAATGAATGTAGTGATCAAAGAAACGTGCCTAAAGATTAATTAATGGATTTTTGCAACACTCAACTAATCTGCTTGAATATCATGTTTATTTTTTGTATCTAATCAGTACATTAAGGGTTTTTTCTTACCACACTCATTTAAAATGTATTCATTAATTTGTTTATTCTTTTATTTCTTCTTGTATTCATATGCATAGTATAATATACTCTATACACATTTTTGTATGCCCAGAACTGTGCTAGAACTAGATACTTGATTTAAAAAAATGTGTGAAAAAAGTTACATGTCCTGAAAGGCATTGAGGGAAAATATATACATATAAAATTTTATCATGTAATCAGATTTTTAAAATATAATACAGCATAAAAAATTTAAAGATACAGCACTGGTTCCAAATACATAATTAACTTAGGGTTAGAGGAAGGCCCATGAAATAGGTAATAATTCTAATGTTTTAAATTTCCATCACCTACCAAGTACCATTATCTTTTCATAATAAAAAATATGGAATTGGTTCATTTGCATTCATAATTTCAATGTAGTGTTATCAAATTCAAGTGTCCAAAAATGCCTCATTCACTGCCTATATGCTACATTCATCACTTTGCTGATGTATCATCAGTGGCTTTCTATGGCCTACATACTATTCAAAATAGTATTCTGACTAGAGGGTCAGAATACTCGATTTCAAATTTGTTCTCCATTACTGCCTTGTGAAATTATATAGACCTAGCTAATCTATGTAGATTTCTCATCTACACAGTGGATGATCATAGTTCCTTGTTCTTAGGGTTGTCATAATGAATTATTACAATTTTTCATATACTCAGAATATCTTCTGTCAGATAGGAAGCACTCAGTAAATTTTAATATTTTCATCATAATACAATCTTTGACTTGATTGTCTCAAATGTCCATTATTAGGAACTTTGCTCTATGCAGTTGAAGAGAGGCTAAAATAACTGACATTTGAAGTCTCTCTCAGAAGCATTTAGATCTCAAATCCATTCAGTAATTCTGTATGTAAAGCTAACTTGTGTATCTCATGTCCACATTCTAATCTACACACACCAGTGCTTCCTCTGTCCTTAAACATTATCTACAAACAGTGATCTAAATACACAGTGAATGTTCAGAGTTTTTAGAATATGTTACAGTGAAGAACAGGTTGCCATTAATCCCCCTCCAACTGTTCTCTCTCTCTCTCTCCCTCTCTCTCTCTCTTTTACACACACACTTCAAACACACTTATCCTTATTCTTTCCACATTCTGAAGCAGTTCTGAAAGTCCTCTTTCATGATTGTCTTTATGAGGTCCAATCAAAAACCCCTGAATTCTGCTGCCCTGTGCCAGCCAAAAAAAAGGTAGCTTTTAAAAACATTAAGGCCAGTCCTCACCCAACTGTTCACTGGATCTGGCACCTCACAAATTCTGGCTTTTCCCCAAAGTCAAAATGACCATGAATGATAAATGTTTTGAATTAATTCAGGACATCGAGGCAGCCACAACAGCATAAATAAAGATACTTGAGAAAGAGGACTTCCAGAACCGCTTCAGAAAGTGTCAGGAAAGATGGGATAAATGCATTTGAAGAGATGGGGAATATTTTAAGAGCGGTTAATAGCAGTGTGTTTTTTAAAGGTAATAAACTTTTTATTTTACCTTTCATTGTATGTCTTGTTCACACCTCATATTTTTATATCTTCCAAGCATGCTAAATAAAATTAAAATTATGACTATTTTATTGTTATTGCAATAAAAGTTTATTTTCTTTTTTGGTAACTTTTATTTGAATTCTTTTATTGCACAACCTCTAAAGTAAAATTTTACTACATATTTTTAAATAGAACTGGATACATTTTACACATAGCAAAAGATGGTAAAATTTAAACCTCTTCTAAATGTCTTGGTAACTCTACAGTAAATCAACTTAGAATATGTTTTTCTTAAATTCCTTTGTACACTACAAAAATAAAAAGCAAAAAATTAAAAATATCAATTTTATATTTTGTAACTGTATTTCAAACACAAAAACCTAGTATGTATATTTTTCTTTAAGTGTTCCACTTCCAGTATTTTGAATAGTGTGGCTAATACTTAATGAAAGATATGAGATTACTTTATCAAATTACATAAGGTGTTTGGTCATAACATAACCAAGGACACCTTGCTAAAAGAGATTGCTACAGCAACAGAATTTTAAAAATGCATTTTTTTTAAGGATTGATGTTTCATTAAGTCTGTACATGAAAATCAAGACCTTCTAACTAAAATGTTTTCAGGTTTCATCTTTTCAGTATTTTCATAAGGAGATTAAAAGAGGACTTGAGGTTGGAGGCCAGGCAAAGAAAACCCTTCTATGTTGATATAACTACGATGTCCATATGCTTTATCATATGGGGTGATTAACTCAGTCATTTCCAAACCCTCACACCCACTGCCTCATGCAATCCACGGTATGTGTGTGAATTAAAACCAGACTAGTTACTATGTAAAAAGACATGGAAAAGAACTTTTAATAAGCTACTTCCTGAAATTACCCCATTGCTCTTGTAAATTTGGTAACTGATATCATGAAAATGTTTACATTTCCTCCATAGGACCTGATTGGGGATCTGAAGGAGAAACTTTCATCTCACTTCAAAGAAGTTATGGTTGGTCTCATGTACCCACCACCGTCTTACGATGCACACGAACTCTGGCATGCCATGAAGGTAGTGATTTGACACAAGCTAGCCCCGTAACAGGCACAGGCTAATATTTCAGTGGAGGGGAACTGCCCTATGATGCTTCCACATACTTATATAATTTGGGAGAAAGGAGAGAAAATCTACACATGACTGTAACTGACAGTTAAAATGCCATCTGGAGAGCAGTTTTGTTAACAATTGGGAGTCCCCAGATTTCTGTGGTGGGGTCAGCTTGTTCTTGTGCTTATATCTAAAAAATTCAGATATACTGAGCCCATTCCAGACTGAGCTACCTGAAGGAAACAGTAAATTAGCTCACAGAGCCATTTGGATTTGTCTATCCTCGATATGAATTCATACATGGAGTCTATATATTAAAAATTATGTGAATCTCTTGAAATTGTATATAAAGATTTGGCTCAGAGTCAAAATAGAATACTAACATAGAGACAAAATACAAATGTCATTGTATCTGTTTTTCTGATTTTTTTTTTTGGTAGGGGGGATTGAACTTGGGTCCTTACGCTTGCGAGACACGGGACAGAACCACTGAGCTAAATCCTCAGTCCTATTTTTCTGATTTTAAATTAGTTGTTTACAAAAACAATTGCTTATATGCATCAGACTTTAAAAACTTTGGAACAATTAGAACAATTCATTCTTTATAGAAAAGTCATTTCCATGCAATAAATTGTTACAGATTTGTTACAGATTTAGTTGTCTAAGCACATAGGAAGAAGGCCTTTCATGCTAAATGAGGAGCAGACTTTCCTCCAGACAGTGGTATCTGGGATAGTTAGTAAATGGTAGAGCCAGAACTAAAATTGGATTTATCATTAACCCAAATTAACTTCCTTTCTCCTTTGTCATTTCAAAGAACATCATTATCCTAAATTAACTTCCTTTCTCTTTTGTCATCTCAAAGAACACCAAAAATACTATATTCCTTTATTGTACATAAGGTTAACTATTATTCCAAGTAAAAATGTCCTTACATTTCTGTCTTTCTAGGGAGCAGCCATTGATGAGAATTGCCTCATTGATATATTGGCTTCGAGAACAAATGCAGAAATCTTCCAGATGCGAGAAGCTTACTGTTTGCGTAAGGATATGTATTGCATATTGTACACATGTGAACTTCAGATTTTTCAAACAATACATAAAAACATTCCATTGTATGTATTCTAAATAATTTTCTAAGACACTCTTAAATTGGAAATATGACTCATTGGAGTAGAAACTGTGGTTGCCAGAGGCTAAAAAGAGTAGATGGGAAGGAAGATGAGGAAAGGTTGGACAACTGGTCTGCTGTCATATCAGGAGGAATAAATTGTAATATAGTATTTCATATAAAGCTCATCATTGTTAACAATAATGCATTGTCTATTCAAAATAGTTATGTGAAAGGATTTTGAAAATACTATAAAGAAATGATGTCAGTTTGGGGTGGTAAGTATGCTAATTACTCAGATTTGGTCATTACACAATACTCATAGATTGAAAAAATCACAATATTAGTCAGCTTTCCCACCTCTGAGACACAATAACAGACACCCACACTTTAAGGAGATGTTCAATTTGGTTCGATTTCAGGGAATTCAGGCCATGGTCACCCAGCTTCAAGGCAGAAACAACACATAGAAGGGCATGGAAAAAAGCTGCTTAGTTCATGGCAGTCATATAGCACAGCAGGGGAATAGTGCCAGAGAGGGAGGCGTGAGGGACAGATACGATACCCAAACCTATGCCTCCATGACCCACAGAGACACACGCACAGTGTGGTTTAATAATACACTAGCTGGCTCCCAAGCCAACTGTCTTCATCATTTTTCTCATCACAGGGATAAAATACCTGACACCTACAATTTAAAGGAGAGGTTTATTTTGGCTCACATTTGAGAAATTTCAGTCCTCGCGTGGTTGCCCAGTGATGGCATGGCCAAGGGACATGGCAGAGGAGAGCTGCAAGCAGCATGGCAGACAGGAAACAGGCAAGGGAAGAGTTCAGGAGGGAGATAAATCTGTCCAAGGCACACTCCCACTGACTGACCTCTTCTGAATAGAGCCCACCTTCTAAAAGCAAGTGAACTAAGCTCGTATAATCCAGTCACCTCCCCAAAGCTCATGTAATCCACTCACCTACCTACCCATGAGAGCCTGAGGCTCTTGGGGGACATCTAGATATAAACCATAACATCAATCAAGAGGACACAATGAGCTTGCCTACCACAATCCTACTGTAACCTATAAATATGTACAATTATTATGTATCAATCAAAATAATAAAAATAATAAAGACAAAGGATTTTTAAAAACAAATAGGACTTTCAAGACCAACTAACTCATTTAGCTAAAATTGAAGATTAGCATACAAAAAATGAAATAATTCCCTAGATAATCAAGCAAAATTTTCATGACTATAAATCTAAGCATCTATAAGGTGAATGTTTTCATTGTGACTGGAAATTATCCATCACCTTGTTTCAAGGGACATTTTATGTCTACCCAGGAGAGAACTGAACCACAGACAAAATGAAGCAAAGTGCAATCATTTCCCAGTGAATTCTACAAATAGAAGTGCTTCACTTTGCATGAAGTACATAGTCCCTATAATCTACTTCCAAATCAGATTTTTACACATTTCAAAAGTAAAAAGGGTAACTATTTTCATTTTCAAATAGCTTTTATGCCTTAAGATCCATTCCATTATATATTATGCAACACTGAATGTCAAAAAATGATTCCAGACAGTCATCTGCATTGCATCTGAACAAGAACAATATTTTCTCAAGGGGAATGAAGTAAGAAACTTCACTTAAAATATTAAAATGAGATGAAGCACTTGAGAAAAGTACTAGGCTAGGCAGCAGGATGTGGCAATGAAATGAATAATTCTGAATCACGAGAGTCAGAGAATATGAAGTAACTCTCACTGTTCTTTTTCAGTTTAGGAATAAAAATCATTCTTTGGGGCAGTAGACCTGTGTCGATGTTACCATTAGTGAAGAGATTTCTTTGGCAGACAGTCATGAGCAAAGACATGTTAACAGATTGATTGTATTTCTTGTTACATTCGTGGCTGGGGTGGCAACACTAACTTATTCAAAGCCCATCAATACATGGTTCTATAATAAATCATGCTTTTAACATGGATCTTTTGTTGCTCAGAATATAGCACTAACCTTCAGGAGGACATTTATTCAGACACTTCAGGACACTTCAGAGATACTCTCATGAACTTGGTCCAGGTATGGCATTCCAAAATTTATATCATTTTATACTGTTAAAGTGCATATTTGTCATTCTGATAGGGCAGAAATCATGAATTTATTACAGTTCAACAATAAATGCTATAATATTCATAAATTCAGTAATAACATTTACTAAATATTAACAATGCTTAAGGCACACACTAGAAACTTGACTTGAAGATAGAAAGAAATATGAATATATAACTGTCTGAATAAGATTAATTACATTTTTAAAAAACTAAATGGGTTGAGTGCTTACAAAATTTCCTGAGCTGCTACTACATGCCTCATACTGTGTGATAAAAGTATTTTTCTCATTAAAAAACAATAAAATGCTATCATATAAATACCTTATAAGCCCTTTAGAAATGAAAAGGAGATACAAAAAATAGGAAGATCTAGCTCTCTGATTGTCTAAGGAGATAATAAATAGAAATCCAGAATTTAATTGAACCCTACAGACTTCTAGAGCCAACATAGGATATCCATGATGCCTATAAAAGTTCTTTGATGCTATATGTTACCAAAGAAGAATATCACTTCAAATGAAAATTAGATTTTGTCCTTTACTTTGTTTTTCTGTATTGACTAAATGGTATGTAATCATATGCATTCAATTAACATTGTATCATAATAGTTAATTTATACTAATTGTAAAAATGAATGGCTTTCAATGACCTTTTCATATGCGTATATATCATGCTTTGATCATATCCACCCTCCCTACCACCCTGTCTTGTCCTTCCCCCCTCTCCTCCCTTCAATTAGCATTTCTTGAAAACATCTCACATATTAGCATTGTAATGAGAATAATACGTTAAAGGTATAATTATCTTTTGTTTTATGCATATTCTCAAATATGCCTGTCATCCTATTTAGCAAAGGGATTCAGGAAAGCAAAAAGCCCTTAACAATGAAAGGAGAATCTAGAGGCCCTCAGGCAAGGAAAATGTCTTAAAAGCCAGTACTTTGGTTTTGTTCTGTTGTGTGTGTGTGTGTGTGTGTATTTGAAATGAAACGAGTGTTTCTAAAACTCCACAAACCTTTCCTCTCCACATCAAAAAGCATGTCAGACTAATCAGCAAAGAACTCCACTAAAAGCAGTAGGTAGATAGATAGCTTTTACACATGAGAATATGGAATCAAGAAGAGATTCCGCTGCCCTTAAAGACAGAAGAATAAATGAAAGCTCTTTCAATGGCAACGAAGGTGGAAGCCTGCTGCCACGGACAGAAAAAGATACCAAGGAAGGAGACCTGGGTAGAATTATGCCTAAGGTCCTCAGGAACATAGGGACCCACACTGAGGTGAGCACTTAGAATCATCAGATAAAAATACAAGCCAGACAATTGTATATTATTTCTTTCTTTCCTCTGAAATATTCCAACTCCCACTGTTTTCATGATTTTTGGATTGTTTTTAATTCAAACATTTCTGTGTGAACTGGTGACAACCTCTGAGAGTTCCACCTTTGTTCCTTATATTTTTGTCTTTATCTGCAGCGATGCTGTGAGGTTTAACCTTCCCGATGCTCCTACCTCTTCCACAGTTCAGTTTTGGCAAATGTCCATGCCTATCGGGGGGGTTTTTAGCTTAAAAAGTCCACTTTTCCTTCACTGGGGTTAGGAGTTTGTTGAAAATAAGCATCCCTTAAACCCTGGAAGATTTATTACCTACTTTCTTTCAGTTATATTTTTCTCAAAATGATTTATTCCTTTGCATCCATGCACTATTCTGTGCTTTTTTTCTTTTCAAACTTAAAGACAATTGTTGCAGGCCTGTTCAGGACAATAAAACTAGCTGGGTATTGCTGCAAGGACAAGTTATAGAAAACCCTTGTCTTGTCTTCCAAAGCCTCTGCAAGTTGCACCTCACATTGCTTGTATTCTGCAAGTGGTTTCCCCTTCAAACTCTTAAAAGCACCAAATTCCTAAATTTTCTCCTTCCTCTCTTTTATTTCTGCTTAAAACTTAGCCTATTATTTATTGACCACCTCTCTTTCTTGTAATACATGGCTAGAAAATAAAGTAAATGCCATTTTTAAAAAGCTCAAATGAAGACCAGAAATGTGCTATTGATTAGAGAGCAGCTTTCCCACAAAAAGTGAAGTGGACCAAAAAGAAGAATTGCTCACCTCCAAGTCTTTCATAGCAATTTCTATTATATCTGACCAAACAAGATTGAATATGTTTGCTCATCCATTTCTCCCAGCAGACTGACTTCTCTAAACAAGAGAACTATTTCCCACTTAACAGTGCAACCTTGTAACTAAACTCTGCATATAACTCATGGCAAGCAGTTCCTATTTTTGCAAATAAATTAGACAAAAATTTTGGAAATTTTTTTTCAAGTTGGAGTGAACAAAATTCAAGGCTGGATAGAGTAAATGAGAAGGTCCTCCTACATGAGTCTGTAGCAGGATTCTGGAAAATGAGCATCAATTGCATGCATGAAAAGGAGGGGAAGGGGCTTGAGGAGGGTGGAAATGGGTGCATACATGTGCTGACTAGCTGAAGAAACTTCTGTTTAGTAGAGAGTGTCTGACTGGACAGCTGGATAAAAGGCTAAAGAGGTTTTTATAAGCACTAGAGAGCCATTCGAAAATTTGGGGGCAGGATGTGACGTGAGTGGAAAGACTTTAAAGTTGTACAGGTCATGATTATTTACCATGACAAATAGAAGAAAACAACAGGGAGAACTACACTTGTGACTTAAGTTAAAAGAATCTGATTTACTAAAACTAAAAACTTATTTTCCTTTTTAGTTATCTCTTTAATTTCTATAATTCCATTCTTCTCTCTGGGATTATACTGATCAAGTCAGTCAGATGTGCCCTGAATACAAGCTGAAGCGATACTAGAAACTATAAGAAAATTCAGCAGGCAGCAACAGACGTATTTAGACAAGAAAAGGTATTTAGGAGAATCCTCTGTTGTCTTTCTCAGATTCTCTTACTAGCCATCTTCTAGCAATGAGAGTTGTTAGATTGAATTCAGATTAGAAAATGAAGGGAAACATTCAGGTTGGAAAAGAATATTTCCCAGGAATATTCAGGGTAATAAATTCATAAGCACATGCTGACCTACATCAATCTTGAAATTACAAGTTTTTAAAATTTTAACCAGAGAAATTTTATTTCTGTTGTTATTTTTCTATAAGGACAGCTAAAAGTGAACTCAGCCTTTTTTTCTGAAGTTTATGATTTCACACACAAAAAATGTTAAGAATTATTTCTAAGCAGATGTGGCGGTGTATCCCTGTAATCCCAGCTCTCTGAGAAGATAACTCTGGAGGATGGCAAGTTTGAGTCCAGCTTGGCCAATTTAGCAACTTAGCAAGACCCTGTTTCAAAATAAAATATTAAAAAGGGGCTGGGGATGTAGTTCAGTGTGAAGACCCTGAGTTCAATCTTGACTAATGAAAAAAAAAAGTATTTCTTTCTTGTCTAGAACTATATGTATACAGAAATAGTCAAAATAAGAAAAATTCCTACTGTTGTTTTATGTTTGGGGCGAGCTTTGTGTCTTTGTTTTTGTTTTTTGAAACAAGGTCTCACTCTGTAGTTCAGGCTGGCCCTGAACTCACTATTTAGCCAGGCTGGCCTTGAATTCCTGGAGATCCTCCTGCCTCAGCCTCCCAAGTGTTGAGATTACAGGCTTGGGTCTCTAGAGAAAACAGCAACTAATGATTAATTGTTCCCTTAAAACAATAGCCATTTGCAAATGTGAGATACTGTTTCATTTCCATTCTGTTCTTATGTTACTCTGCTATCTGTCTCATTTAGGGTAGATTAAGAAGTCCAAAAAAAGGAGACAGTTCCTTTAATGTGATATTTATTGTAATTAATACTTCATATTATATTTAACATTTATTTTGTGTGATCAGATTAACGAATGAATAAATATACATGCTAGACTAGAACATAAACTAATAATTCAGTTTATTCCCAGGCAACATGGATTTTAATTATTTTAAATCCTTTGCATATGTGTTTCAATGCACACTTAAGTTATTGTCAATTTTGAATTAAGAATACAGAAATTTTCAAAAAGTTGCTGAGGATGCAAAGTATTAACTATCTCATGCTGCTACTGGAAACTTGGATTGCTTAGATTCCTTCAAATGTCAGTTTAAAAAAATGGCATAATCACAAAGCAAATTCATTGATCTTTTAGCTAAATTAAAATTTTATTTTAAAAATCAATGATTTAGTTTATTGGGTTTGGCTTTGGTTTAGTTTCCTTTGGATTTACTAAGCTTGTCGCACAGTTCTTAAAACTGCCTATAACACCAACCTCAATTAGGCCTTATTCTGGGAATTTTAACAGCGAAGATTTAATCTGTGGAAAAAGAAAGTGTGGCTTGTCATGTCTAAATTGAAACTTTGGGGTAAATTACAATAGGAATAAGATGATCTTAACTTGTAATAGAAGTTCAAGTCATTTGTAGGAAAAACATTTTTAATAATTGATATTTTAAGATAACCTCACTTTGCAACATATCAATTGTACATTTCCTGTAACATTGCATAAATTTAGTTTTAATTAAAACATTAAGTGTAAAAGAACTTCTCTTTTAATTTTAGAGTATGATGGGGTATGATATAAATTGAAACAACAGTTTCCACTCATACATTCTTCTTAACATATTCTGCCCCTAGTAGAGTAAAGCCCATTGCCAGATTATAAATCCATGAGCTGCTTCCTAATATCAAACAAGCTTTCTGAAAATATCCAACTAGAAATTTATTTAGTTGAATAAAGATATAAATTCTCTAGTAGGAAAACAATTCTCTTCCAGGACTAATTTCATTGCATCAGGATTGCATCTCTGCCAGTTTTCCTCTCTGTCAAATCCTATTTCCAGTCCCACTTACCCCTGTGATTGATCTCAAACCCATTCCATAATAAATAGGCTATAGCAAAAATAAATAACAAGGCTGAAAAATCCATGAACAGTACCTCAAACCTTATTCATAATTGCAGCTTATTTCTGAA